GCCGTGAACGGGTGCGCCGGGGCCGGGCCGGCTGCGGTTTAGAGGGAGACCGCTGCCTTCTGACTTTGAAGGTGAGGGGGGTCTTTAACACATCCTTGCCGTCGTGGTTCTGTTCTCGCTAAACCCCGAGGAGTTTCCCTTTCGAGCGGTCCCGCTTTTACGCGGCGAAGGCCTGGGGGGAGCGGCTCAGCCCCTCAGAGCCCCCCGCCCCGCCTGGTGCTGAGGTGCCCTGCCAGCCTCTGCCATCCCCTTCTGCTGGCTCCCGGCAGGCCACGAATGGCTCTTCCGTCCCGCCCTCGGCTTGCCATTCCCTTCATGCCCGCTCCTCACCTCCCGTCTGGCGCGCTCAGGCCTCCTGGTGTAATTGCCATGTCTAATTGCCTGGTTCAGTCAGGGCGGGCCAGGGCCCCGAGCTTCACCCCCGGTGATGGCTTTAGCTTGTCTTAGAAATAAATCCCCTCTTCAGGGCTGGTAGGAACGCAAGTTGATCAATGACAGCAAAGCTTTGTTCTGTGGATCCCAGTCATTCCCCTTTTGTTTTATAGTTAATGCCTCGGATGACTTTCATTCAAAAGAAACACTCTGTAAGGTGGTGTGTAATGCTTTTAAAAACATACTGAAGCTCTCCACAAAGTGGGTTTTAGTTTTAAAAAATAAAAGCTTTCAAAAAGTGTTTCCTAGCTAGAACAATAGAACATTTTCGCTGTTTTAACATGTTGGCCTTTGAATGAAATAGCTGACCTGTCAGTATTCTGAGTAAACGTGACTTCTGCTAATCCAACTGGTTTTTGCCACGTTCAGCTGGTACAAACGTAGCCTTGTGTCTGAAGCTGCCTCTGCAGCTGATACGTGTGTGTGGTTGGACATGGACAAGACATCCCCACCTTACTGCTAGCACAACTAAATATTTGATGTGTTGCATCATATATGCTCACAGTTGTTCATATCTGGAGAGAAGGTAATAAAAACACTGTGCCAACTGTTCAAACCTCCCGGATGCTGAACTAAGGTGCCACGAGGTATTGCTGATCCTGTTTTTGTCTTTCTCCAGCTTCTTTGCCATAGTTGTTTATTGGGGACAATGTCTACTTTCCCCTGTGTGAGCACCGGACAGTCTGTGGCTCCTGACCCCTGTGTAGCTCCAGAAATCTGCCCCCTTCAGCACCCTGGACACTGGGAGTTGCTGACTAATCCAAACCCTCAGTGTTGAGAAGGGGCAAGCTGAGGCTGATGTTTGGTCATGAGCCTCACATTGCTGGAGCCATGAGACCTCTGAGGAAGTCTTCCAGGAGACTTCCTCTGTGAACAGTTACCAGATCTCCTTCGTCTCAGCTCTCCATGTGGCTTTCAGCCATGTGCTGTGTTGGCTACAGTGTCAAAAAAACCTGGCAGTCTCTGTTTTGCAGTTGTTGAATGTATGCTCACTTGCTCTTATCTCAACATCCAGACTTATCTGGATATGGGATAAAATATTTCTTGCCTCGTTCAGTCACTGTAACATTAAGAAATCTGTGTAATAGCATTCTTGCTCATGCCTCGATGATATTATTATCAGCAATAATACTTAGTATAATAGCTTTAGAACAATTAATTGTCACATGTTGGCCTAAGAATTTTTAAGTTTTTGCTTTACTTCACAGTGGGATTTATGAAGCCAAATGCTGACATTTAATTTGTCACTAGTCAGTTAATAAATGTTTGCAGATTGAAAAAGAATGGCAAATAATCAGAAGGCACTTCAATTTTAATCTCTAGGAGATTTTGGTGTCACATTTGCATATATATATAAATATTCATGAGTGTGGTATGGTTTTGTTAATTAATTTCAGTGGGATTTCTCATAAGACTATGAAGGTTGTAAGTATTTGCAGAAGTCTTTCCAGGACTGGGTCTGTAGTTGGCTTTGAAAAAGAATATAAAATGAGTTGAAAATATTCTTAAGGTTTGGACTATTTCCCTCTGATAGTTGACATGTTAAATTATGTAGCATTTATAAACCCTTCTCTCCGGCAGGTTTTGGAGATCATATTCATTGGAGAACACTAGAAGATGGGAAGAAAGAGGCAGCAGCCAGGTAGGTTAACTAGTTTTAATTATAGAAAAGTGTATTTAAAAACATTCACAAAGGTTCTGTATCTATCCTAAACTTAACCACAGAAAATAGTAATTATTAACAAATGTGAAGGTGGTTTAGGAGACTGTTCAGATCCCTGTGGTTTACAGAGAAAATACGGTTTTATTAACTTTTCTGAGGCATCACCTAGGTTTAATCACTACTGTCTAATTAAATGATTGAAGTCTTAGCATGTCTTTGAAATGAGACAAAAATAATTATTTATCATAGTAAAGAAAGATACCGTTCTCAAACCCAGAAGCGCATGTTTAAGTCGTTCTCAATCCCCTTGAACTCAGCAGTGCTAATAGCTTCCTAAAATTCATTGTGCCTGTATAGATGAGGCCTCAGTGTGAAATGAGAGTTAGTTACCATCTGTAGAAAAAGTCCAGAAGTTTCAAACTGTAGTGAACAGATCAGTTGTTCAAGTAGAACCTTCTCTGAGTTGAGCTTAAACTCTGAAAAGAACACTGTCTTTATGCAAAGGTAGAAAATGACATTTTGACAGACAGATTTTTTTTTCTGAGAATTTATTCTGTTTCTTATTAAAATGAGAGAAGGAAAATTGTATGCTTATAAATTCTGCTTGTGCTTTGAAATTAGAAACTTAGGTCTGACAATGTTGACATGAGTGGAAATTCACTATGCCTTCCAGGTTTGCTGTTTAATTGAACTCTGCTCTCAAATTGATCCATCTGGCGAGTTCCACACTCTATTTGAAACACCAAATTAACCCAGATGGTACAGTTCAAAAGTCTTACAGGTTTTTATAACTGGATATTTTAGCATTTATTTGATATACCTATGCAAAAACCCCAGATTATTTCAGTAGTTGCAGGAATAACTGTAGCATTACTTTGCAATGCAGCAGAGGAAGTTTTAAAATGACAGAGGAGGGAGGGATGGCAAGCTTTTGGGTTTAGGCAGGATGAGTTTCTGCTGAGAGCCGCCGCTAAGTGAGGGATGGGTGTAATGTACACTCTCTCCTTTTGTTGCTGGAAACGCAGACCTGCTCGTTGATTTGAGTTCAGCAGCATTTGAGTGTTGCTGAATTGAAGGACTGGGAGAAACCACCACCACCAAAGAAAAGATAAACCTAAAAGGCAGATTTTTGTTTGAAGTCTGACCTTAGGTCAGGAGATGAAAAATTGTACAAAATTATGTTATGCATTGAGTGAGAAGCATCAGAGCTAGTGGTCTAGGAAGTTTCAAGACTTCGATTTCCGTTCTATAAATAGTACAATGTGGATGTGTCGGAGATGCTGGAGACCTCTTGTTTTTAAGTTCCCTGTGGGCGAGGGTGGAGATCCAGCGCTTGTACAGCTCCCAGGTGCCTGGTTCTCGGGGGTGACCACAGTAGGATCGTGCTTTTGAGCAGGATGGCTGGCGGGATGCTGTCCCTGTGCTGTGGAAAGGCAGTCCCCGCATGCCCCAGGGGCCAGCTGCTGTCGGGCCTGTCTGAGGTGCTGAGCCCCTGTGCTGTGAGGCGCTCCGGGGGGGTTTCCATGCCAGCCCGTGGGTGACCAGTGGCACGGCAGTGCCTCACGCTTCATTTTCTAAACCTGGTCATAAACATACTTCACATCCAGGTGGTCCAGCTGGAGAGTCAAGGACCAGATCTGGGAAGTAGGGAGCGGAGGGAATATTAGGTGGGATTTGAGGGATGTTTCAGGGATGCTGGCTCTGCTGACAGGCCCTAAGGACCCCGCTGAGACTCCCTCTTATTTTAAAAGCCCGTCAGGGGTGATGCAGCGCAGAAAAGGCACATTGCCTTTTTCTTGACAGCAGCAGTTCTATGAGCAGGTGCCCCTGGCATCCATCAGGCCAGGAGCCCGCTCCTCTCATGGCATTGTCTTCACACACACACTCGTGTTTTGGGGAGAAATGGTCTTTTGTTCTGTCAGAAAAGAGAGAGGACTGGTATAGGGCAGCGGCCAGGGCTGCAAGGGGAGAAGAGGCCCCTTCGCTCCATCCTGCAGCCAGGTCCGTGTCCTCTCTGCTCTTGGAGATGCTGTGCCACGGCCTCTCCCGACCGGACGTTACGGGGCATGTCAAACTTGTATCTCCAAGCCCGAGGAATTATTAAATGCTATATAAAAAAAGGGAAAGCCTCCAGCTCAGGCCGCCGTTGCCCCTGGCGGCCCGGG